TTTTCTCCTGAAAACAAAATATTTCGTGCTTGGGGGCACTCAAAATGCAAAGCATTCACAGAGTTAGATGAAGTCCTGTCTATGGTAGAGGAGTGTGATTCAGAGGCATGGTCTGTCCTTTGTCGAAGAGAAAGACGCATCAGAGCCTTATGAATTGCAAGTGAACAACTTTTCGCAGTGCTCCGATCTCCCTTTCCAGGGGATGAGCTGCATACAGCATCAGACTCATCGGGCCAAGCTATCACCACTCCCGATTTCCCACTTGTATTGGGAAGTTCGAAAGCCTTTTCCACCAACGTAGATTTATGTGAGATCATTTGATTGGGAACAGAAATCTCCTTGTCTCTTAGCGGAGTAGATCTTTCCGGTTGGTACTCTTTAGGTCTTTTAAGAGAACTGTAACCACTATCAGGTTCTTCTTTAAAAGAAGAACTAGACTCTGAGCCTTTTGAGGAATTATGCTCCGGTTCAACTTTTCGGCCTATAAATACGCTGATACATTTATTAATCCGAGTGTAGTATGATAATATCTTGTCAAGGTGATGCTCGTCTGCATCTTTAAGAAAGTTCCAAAATCGCGTCTGATCAACTGCAATATTGAGGCTGGTAGATTTTGACCAAGATTCGTCATCTACTCCTAAAGACGTCTCATAATCATAAATTCGAATAAAATTTTCCATTATCTGGGCTAGATGCAGCCTTCGCTCTTTCAGAGTTAATGATGCATCAACAGGTGAAATTGTTAGAACTCCGGAGCTAGATGCCTTTATCAGATTGGGCTGGAAAGAATCCAAACTTATGGCTCTCACAGCGGATGGCGAGAGATTCACTGATGCTTTTTTTAAAAATCGTAACATAAGATCAATTTGTTCATTAGCTTTAATGAGAGCTTGACCATCACTTTTATTTGGGATTTCCTCATCTAATGTTTCCGCAATTAAACGACATTGGACACGCGAAAGATAGGCGGCGAATGCATATCTAGCTTGAGAACGAGATAGGGAACGAGCCTCTTCCAAGGACAAATAATTATCTAGTCGAGCAGATAGAGACGGGTTCAGATGCGTCGGTATTTGTGTTCTTGTTGAAGAAGATCTTGATGTTTTCTCTAAAACGGGTTGGCTTGCATCTAAAATAGTTTGTGGGCAATGCTCCTTTTCATGGAAGCTGGGAGTTTTGGAAGGAACTGAACGAATCAAATGGAGACCGCACTCAACACCAAAAATTGGGGATTCGCAGTGCTTGTGAAGGCATCCTGGAATGAGACAAACGCCGTAAACAGTCGTAGGGTGAGCTCCTATCTTTCGCAGATAGAAGGGCAAGCGTCCGAGGGTTTGGGTGTAGCAGATACCTACGCGGCGAGCCTGTTCTACGCTGAAGCATCCCTGTCCAGCTATGCCAACAAAACTGGCTAATGCGCATCTGGTAGCTTCAGGTGAGAGGCTGTGCAACGGTAGCCGGATCCGACCAACTGCTGCAGGAGAAGAGACAGGCCCAACAAGGGCCAAGGAAGAAGCAACAGAGAAGAGTTGCTCGGTTGGGGTTGGGGTCAGGCCAATATGCAGGCCTGGATCAACTGGTGGTAGACATGAGTTGGGGTGAATATAGCCGGAGAAAAGAGTGAGCGTAGTGGAACCGGTCGAATCATATTCACTTGTTGTCACTGGTACTTCACCAGTGGCTTGGTTGGTTTTACTAGTTTCATTACCTCGGAGAGTCTGCATTTTGCCATTTACCTCTGATTTTTGGTAGAGGCTCATTAGAGAATGATGGCTGGCAATCAACATTGCGGTTACTGCGGTAGAGGCCATCGCAATAGAGGATAGTGAATTTGAAGTAAGACAATTAGTGTCAAGCCGGCTCGATGCACCTATTCGGCCAGCACTACTTCTTCGCCGACCAGCAGCAGCATGCCCAACTGAGCTAGGGAATGTCATAGCATGACTGGCACATGCACTCAAGCTATTGAAGTCAGTGGTACTCTGTTGGCCCGGCCCAACAACGCCTGTTTGAGTAGAAGGTGGGGAAGATAGGGGTTGCGACAGATTAGATGTCTGCCAGAGGCACGCATATTGCTCCCACATTTCGGCGTTGGGAAGTAAGCGTAGCCAGCCGCCGGCTCGAGAGGCTTCTTCGTGGAGACGACGTACCAATTTAGCTTCTTCAAAAGTCAACTGATATCGTTTCTCTTGATCAAGATATTTGTTTTTGCAGGTT